CATTCCCTGCATGAGACTGATTCACTCCGAAGCGGGGTAGGCAGCGCTTTGAAGTTACATTGTACTTGAACCAGAGGACTAAGGCCCTCAAAAGTGCCAACAAAAATTATTCAAAACGTCAACAAAAACCAGTTTCAAGACTCGAGGTTGTACCATATGAGATTTTACAATAACCTAAATTTTATTTTAATATCAAGCATCGACGGAGCTGCTCGAGAGTCAGACCGGAAACAGAGCTTCCTCCGACGATGATCCCTTCGTTCGACGTGGAACAACGTCCCTTCGCGTGCCCGAAGGGCGCCCGTTGCGTCTAAATCCCGTCTTCTTCCTTCCTCCCATCCCTGTCGATGGTAATGCTCGTTGCATCCGTAGGTGCGACGCCTTCGGGGCGCTATTTTTGTCTGTCAAGTCACTGGTAGACACCCTCTCGCAGGCAGCCGGAGATTCTACGCGTGTCGCGATCCCCTATGGGCGCGTGCCCGTGCACGCTCTCCTCGGCTCATTAGACTTCCTCGAGAGAAAAATGATGGACGAGCTGATAAGAATACCCTCGAGCACCGTCTAGGATATCTAGGACAACTCTAAGTGTTTGTTCCGGGACCTCGAGAGGGGAGCCTTTTGTTGGAAGCTTGGGGAGAGCAATTTAGAGGAATTGTTCTAGTTGAAATTAATAGATAAATATAGAGTCAGTCACTGAATTAAATGACGGGTGTGATGTTTCAAAATTTACACGCGTATATAGTTATAATGAAACGTTCATTTGTGAACGTCAAACCTATTAATTTGAACGAATTTTTTCGATAGACATAGAGGGTATGAATACTTATAGGAATGTACAGATAAATTATTTCTTGTAATTTTTACACAAGGAAGAACTTTGGTGTACATTACATCGTTGCTTAGAATTTTAATTTATAGTAACGTTGATTGTTGTAGCTATCGGTATTCCAACTGTGATATTGTAGTGTATTATTGGAGGGGGGGGGGGGAGGAGGGGATTTTATCGTGAACGTTTCTTTAGAATTTTAATTTATATCGATGTTGGTACGTGAGAGTTATCAGACTTCTAACTATGAAGTTGTATTGTACCACTGTGAAGTTATACTGTGTGAAGGAAATTGATTGCGAAAATTTACATTTGAATGTACAATTCACAGTGGTCGCTTCGATCATTCACATAAATTTAAAAGGAAACATATACACGAACCTACACCAGTCTCTTTGAAGAGAAGTCGATGATCCAATCGACGAAACCTAAGCTTTCCTAAAAAGAATCCCAAAAACGATTTCTAAGCGTCAAAAGCATTAAATTTCAATCTGAAACGTCCGACCTCCAAGCAGACCCAGTTTAAAGAGCTCCCATCGATCACACGAAAGCGAGTGTATCCGCGAGACGGATGTCCCGTGTTCTCCGCCATAAGTAAAGTTTGACAATCGCCTACACAGCCGCGCACGTGTCCGTCACCCTAGAGTCGCGCGTGCCCCGTGTTGTCACCCCGTGTTGAGCGCCTCTTCCTTGAGGAAGTAGGAAAAAGTTCGATGAAAAAATTTCAAGGGACTTCTGGAAATAGGGAACACCTGAATACGAGTCTATACAGTCGTTCCTATAAATATTCGTACATTCTATGTCTATTGAAGAAAGTCTAAATTAAATGATAGTTTTGATGTTACCAAATAAACTTTTCATTATAGATATGAATATGAATAACCTTATGTATTTATATACACATCAACATACTTATGGAAACATACACCTGGAAACATCAAACCTACCATTTAATTTAGACAAATTTCTTCATCAATGGATGCAGAGGGTACGAATATTTATGGGTCTGTCCTGTGCAAACACGCACATTTACATCCCCATACATTTTTAATAAGCATTAATAAAGAGAAGTAAACGTCTAGAAAGAAGAATTATAGTAAATCCCATAAATATTCGCACCTTCTACGTCTATCGAAGAAGCTTGACTGAATTAAATAATAGTCCCGATATAACCAAATGAAGTTTTATTATAAATATGTAAAGTCGGTGTAAGAAGTATTTGTACAGCAATCAATTTAAAATAAATGGTTTCTGTACGAATACTTATTTATTAATTGTCTTCCTCCACATTTTCTTTTTTTTATTTTATATATATTTTCAACAGTACCATTTAGTTTAAACAAATTTCTTCGATAGACATAGAGGGAACAAATATTTATGGGACCGACTGCATTCGTTCAAAGTCTATCGACGATCGACTTAACCCCCGTAACCCCCGATGATCGCGGGTACGTGGGGTCGTCCCCGGAAGAAATTCGATCTCGCGAGCCTAAATATAACCAGGAAGTAACGTTCGCGGCAATTTACGTGTGTTCTCGTCACCTTCTGGAGCCGACGAGCGCATAAACCACGTGGTAACAGGGCTAAGCCCCTGACAGAAGTTCCGACCGCGTTATTGCATTAGCTTGCAGGCACGTGCTCAGGCGTGGGTGCAAAGGGCAGAGCGTCGGTAAGTGGCGTCGGTGGCGTCGGGGGTGCCGAGGCACATGGGATCGGCAAGTTCGTTCAACTCGCGGTGATGCAACCATGATAGAGAATCGAGGAAATTCATCTTCGATCGGAAACTCTGTTTACATTTCCACATGTTTCACAGAAAATCCCATGAATTTCTCTTTAGGAGCAATGCTTTGTGGATTAATTTATTAAGTTCATTATGAAGCGAGTATAGAGACTTTCGTTAGGTATGTAACAAATTTTATTGCAGAGGAATATAGATTTAGAGAGAATTTTGCACTGACCTTGAAATGCCCTTGACACCTTGAATGTAAATAATGCAAATCCACTGGTAGGTTGAAATTGGACACTCGGTATATGGAGCAAGCTTAATCATCCTGTTAACAAGGCGTCAACATATCTTGCTAATTCAATGATTAGAACGATAGTAAAATCATGAATATCCTCCAGAATGCGTCCTCCGCAACATCAAAACAACAACCAAGCACCTACTATTCGAATGCCGAAGATACGATATAGAAAGACGAAAATATCAATTAAAACCAGACTCGGGCCTAATTTCTCAAGACCACGTACAAAACACCATAAAATATTTGAGAGAAACTAACCTGTTCTAGAAAATATAAAATATCCTCGTCGCTAATTACCGTGCAGTCGATGCGACGTAAAGCCTCTATTAAAAAAAAAAAAAAAAAATCCTAAATGTAGAACAAATTTTCGATAACCTTGAAATGATCTCGATATCTGGACCTTGACCTCTTGTCACTCAACCTTAAAGAGCCCTTTACGAGTGCATCCACATCTTCCATACACTTCTTCTTAAGTTCCCAGTGACGTGCCAGTCCCAGTGACGTGACTTCATCGATCCCACCGATCTAGCTTAACAGCTTAACGCCTTCGCTGCCTTCATTTTCCATCGATCGGAAAAATTTCCTCCGATACGCTATAACGTGTCGCATAATTCCCATCCAGAGTTCGTGAGAACTCGTTGACAGGATGTTAACATATCCTGTCGTTAACATCCCCGGTTGCACTTCAATTACACAAGAACCGCGTGCGATCGCACGAATTATTTCGTTCCCCGACGGTGAAGCGTTCCTCTTCCCCCACCCCACCCTCACCACGCCTCCCGCCACCCCCCTTTCCTCGAGCGTATTTACATTTCCCAGCCCCAAGCAGTATTTTTTCCCCCGCGGCCGTTTCTTCCGATCGCTTCCGTCGTTTAATTTTAGCGAGAAAATCTCCTTGTAAACGTCCCTATATTTACCCTTGGCCGCCGGGGAACAGAGATCCAGGAATTTCCGCGATGCCCTTTTCGCGTCTACGGGGTGGCACCAGGAGGTGCGAGTGAACTTCGTGGAAACGAATTCCTCGGCGGTGACGCAACCAGAAATTTCAAGTAGAAATGAGAGGGAGGGTGTGGACGTTATATTTATTGATATTCGGAAAGAAAGTTTATATTTTGCTTAAGGCGAGAGGGAGGAGGGGCAACCTAGTCCCCTGGCCTACTCTAGTTGCAGCATCGTCCATGTCACGATGAATAGTTCATTAATAGTTTGTATTTTTTTTTGTTTAAATATATTTGCAGCAGTATTGCTATGTGATAACTAGATTAATATTGAAAAAGAAAGTATACGCTTTTCTTTAAGGTAGGAGGAGGGTATCTAGTTCTCTGGCACCCTCTAGTTGCAGAATTGTTTATTTGGAGGTCGGAAACATGACAACAATCATAATGAAAAATATAACAGTTTCTTAATAGTTTGTATTTTTTTTGTTTAAATATATTTGCACCAATATTGCTATGTGATAACTAGATTAATATTGAAAAAGAAAGTATACGCTTTTCTTTAAGGTAGGAGGAGGGTATCTAGCCCTCTGCCCCCCTCTAGTTGCAGCATTGTTTATTACACTTGGAACTCGGAAACATAACATCAATCACAATGAAAACAGTTTCTTAATAGTTTGTATTTTTTTCTTTTTAATATACCTGCACCATTAGCGGTAACCAGATTATTATAAAAACATAGCTTCACCATGGAAGCGAAACGTTTTTCTAGGTTCGAGAGATGCTTCCCCAAATTTCGACCGCGCCTTTAGTCCCACCCTGTAGAGTTCTCCTATTTCTAAGCAGAGCGCGACCGTCTCGAGGCGGTTCTATTTCCCCGGGCGCCGTTGGTATTAATGCAACGAGAAAAAAAAAATATGATAGGGCGAGGGGGCAGTGAAAGAGGAAGAAGAAAATAAAATCCTCGTGATTTCCTCTTACTTCTCCGGGCGAAACGAAACGGAAAGAACCGCAGAGCTCGAGTGGGGCGAGTGTCTCCTAAGAATAGAAGAATTCTTTTTCCTTCCGTCGCGCAATTGTCGGGGGAAGCTGGAAGAAAACTTACCTGCGAACCGATACACTCGTCCGAGAAACGTTGAAACTTCTTCCCAGACGGTCCAGTGACGTTCAGACTCGAGACGAGACGCTCTTAAATGCTCCCGTTTAAAAATATCGATTCCTGGAATGGATCGCAGAAATCGAGCAGCGAGATATTCGGTCCTCTTCCTCCTCTTTGTTCCATGTATAACGCGTCGGGACCCCCCGCGAACCCAAAGGCGTGGTTACAACCACCGCTCTGTGCCTCCAGTACACACGTGCATCCGCTGCTCGCTCGTGCATACAACCGAGGAGATTACACAGCTCGAATTAACTCTCCTAACCGCGAATCCAAACGGGCCAATTGCATCAACTTTCCAATGTGCAACATTTTACCAGTTGGCCACGTTGCAAGTGCACTTCGGGGACTTTACACGACGCTTAAGTTCTGATAACTGTCACATTTTTACTTTTATACGAGTGTATTCTCTCATTCTCTTATGTTTTGTAGTTTGTACTTTTTATATTCGCGAATTTAGGTGTACTTGTAGACTTTGTACGATGCTTGAGTACCTACGACCATCGTATTTTTTCTTTCAAATAAGTAAATTCTTTTATTTTTTTTATGTTTTGCAGTTTGCACCTTTATATTTGCGAAATTAGGTATCGAGGATCTCGTTGAACACGTAAAATTGATACAATTTCTGAGTCTCCGATTTTTTGTTTGGAGGTCATTCGAAGGTCAACGTATCGACATGCCTGACTTTCGATCGAATTAGCTTATACGTATATCGTAAGCGTCGTCTGATTTGATCGAGCATCACTTGTTATTTTTACGTATCTGCGAACAATTATAAAAATCCCACCAGTCTTCCAAGTTCAAAAAATAAAAGCCTTACGATTAGTATAATGGATGGAGGCGCCATCGATCAACACATATCTGCTTACCAACCGAGACCTTTAAAGAGATCTAGAATCCTAGATACTCGCCTACGTAATTTAAAATGAAATAGAGAAATCGGAAATGTCTGCAAATAAAGAACCCCGACGTTCCTGAATGCACAGCCACGGATTTCCAGGAATTCCCGATAGGTACGATATTTGTCTTGCCAAACGAATGACGATACACTGTTTGCAATGAAGTCGTGTACCGACAGCTGGTAGATTCTTGCACGTGACGGGTTCGTTTCTACGGTGATCGCATCTCGGAAGAATGACGTCTACAGGAGCGTCGAGACGGCGGCGAACGTCTTACCCGAAATAGACGCTGTATCCCGAACACGGAGACGACTCGTGAACCCAGCCACGGGGAAACCGGTTGCCAGGGGAAAAACAAATCGTCGGTTCCGATTGGTTTACTAACGAAGAAAATACCGAGATTGCGCGCTACGATGCACTTTACGGCGCGACTGGCTAACTACAAGTGAAGATACTTAGGAATATACAGGGATAAGTGAAGTAACGACCGAGTTTACGAAACTATAAACCGGCACGTTGTTGTTGTTATTATTATTATTATTATTATTATTATTATTATTATTATTATTATTATTATTATTATTATTATTAAACATTTTTATCGTGCACATGGGTGAAGTGTGTGTAAATTACAAGCAAAAGTTGTCTACAAATTAACTTCAATTTTAAATAGATCTGGTCTAGATCATTCAGAATTATTATTATTATTATTAAATGTCGTTATCATTCATAAAGAAATATGTCGATTTGCACAAGGATGAAATACAGGCTGCTTTTCAACTATATCCCAATTTCTCAGAATTATTATTATTAAACGTCTTTACTGTACATGCACGTGGATATATTATGTAGTATAAGAAAGTATTACGCGTTCGAATCTTTCAACGGACGTTCTACGTACACGGAAAGTGAAACAGAATGTTGGATTGTTTAACTTAAATACAGGAGGGGTTGCCATTTTGGGTACAAGGACGCAGATGTTGGATGTTAGGGTACACGAAAGACATATGGGACAAAGGGGCAGGCGATCAAATAAACTAGACCTTTATTACCTGAAGACATTTCCGAGTAATCTCACCGAGCTGCTCTTCTTCCGTTTAATTTGCATTAACCACGAAGACGAGAATGCCGAGTTTGTTACGCTTGAGCAGCCAAACAGCAGATTTCAATTCCGAGAACTTCGTCTGGCGTGCAAACATCGAACGGTTAAGCGCATCGTGAGATTCTTGCGGGTAAAATATGACCATAACCGTGAAACGATATTTTTTCCGTTGATATTATAGCGCGTAACGGTATTCCCGTATTTCCAACGCTCCAGTTCTATTATCTACGAAACGATTTTTATAGATTCATCTTTGGAAATCCTATGCGACGCTTATCTTCTAATATTCCTTGATATTAATTTCACAAGCTATACTTCAGAGTCTATACACCCATGCGTTCAAATTTGAACTATTTAGGTTGCGTAATTTTCGAGTTAAAAATTGTCAAATATCGTACACGTTAATAGTCGATTTTTATAAGATTCATCTTTGGAAATCCTATGCAACGCTTATCTTCTAATATTCCTTGATATTAATTTCACAAGCTATACTTCAGAGTCTATACACACATGCATTCAAATGTGAACTATTTAGGTTGCGTAATTTTCGAGTTAAAAATTGTCAAAAATGATCGATTCAATAATCGATGTAAGAATTTTGAAACGATGCAGATTACTGGCTGTTGGTACATAAATGTGGAAGCGTACTTACGCCACGACAGGATGTACTTTCTTCAAAAATCTACAGAAATCCCAGCAATCACTATATTTGGCCTTCTGAGTCATGGCACGGTTGTGCAGCCGTCGCGCAAGCTTTGAATTCTACCGCGCGCGGCACCGCTATTTTGTCTTCTACGCCATCGAATTCCTGAAGCGTCTTCATCCTTTTTGTTGTCTGCGCGTATTTTTTTACGCGTTCTTGGAAACTATCCTAGAAACGCGGGCTTTCACGCGCAAAGACTACTAGCACCGATAACAATGTAACCTGAGAATTTAATTTTCAATGTAAGCTCATCAAATGCAAAGTTAACCATTTAAGCATTCCACGTGTTCATTTAATATGTATCTACATGATAAAGATGTTATAATAATTAAAAATGAAACTATTGTTACAGTTTTTTCGCGAATGCATCGTAGTAGAAAGACGTCCATTTGAAGCGCAGCAAAATGAGAGCGCGGGATTCGGTCGTGTACACTCCAGTGTCCCTTGGACCAGACACAGACGACGAAGAAACGTTGGTCAACGCGGAAGTTTACAACAATGGTGAGTCCAATTCCGATCTAACACTCGAAGCCTTCAATTCTGACGGTTTAAAGAATTTTTTAACGATAAACGAAAAGTTTTCGTACGTCGAAATTTTGAATTTAAAAGTTCTGAAACATTTTTACCGACAGTAGGTAAGGTTTGGCTCGATGAGGCAAGGTTACTGGCCTCCATGAAGGCGCTTATGCAGCGAATTGCACTCGACACCGACGAAAAAATCCCCTTATCGCGTTCAATGTTGCCCGACCGTGGCTAATAGTGTTTTGTGACGAGTTTTCCCGCGTTACGGTTGAACGTGTACCACACAGATAAATCGTCGAGATCGAGTGGCATGACGCGTGCAACTCACGATTAATGATGAATGAGAAAATCAATTCGTATCGCTGCGTGACACGGTGACTCGAACAAGAAAAGTCTTGCTCGAGTGTTTGTTTATTTAAAAGGCTTCATTTAAAATTTGTTTGCTTAAAAGGTAGGTCCGACTATTGACCGAAGTACAGTGTGCCCACATAAGTGTAAGAATATGAGGCATGAAAACGTAATGGTATATGATCAGGTACTGCGTCACTTGACTATGGTATTGCACAAAGTTTGCACAGACTGTGTATTGTCACTTAACCTACAATTCCAGCGTTAATAGGGTTTCGAGGTACTCGACATGTAAAAATGCAAAGGAACCTGTTAGAAAATTCTACCATGTGTGAATGTACGTCTGTAGGTTTTTGTTTGGTTTATATCTCAAAAGTGGTTGATCAAGAAATCATAAAACTTGACATGCTGGTCGTTGAATTAAAAAAAAAAGAAAAAGAAAAACAAGATTTGATAGTGTTTGAATTAATAATAGGACAAAGTTTCTTTATGGTCCTGTACTGAAACCTCCCAAGGTATACCAAGTGGAGGCTAGTCCCCCGAAAAATGGCCGATGGACTTAATGTCCTCGCATAGATGGCGTTACAAGCTGTTTGTTTGTTTGTTTGTTTGTTTATTAAATTAAAGTGCGTACATTCGTAGAAGTACTTTGCACTACTATGTGCTGCTCTCTTTTTACATTTCCTCTTCTAAACGTTTTACATTAATATTTCTTAGTCTCTATTCTTACTCGTCGCAAGCTGTCGCATCTCGCTTAGACACGTACCATCCGTATAAAATGTAAGTCAAATTCCTGGCCGTTCACCGTGACGTCGTTTCTCTTTATTAAAATACCACGACGGACCGAACACGGATATTCCTGACCAAGTCAAGCCGGATACGATTGGAAATGGTGGAACGAAGACAGCCACTCTGAGTCAGAGCACACCTACACGACTTCCGAATTCGAACTTCGCGCCTGTAATGCATGTAGGATAGGGCGGGGGCGTGGCGCATGTACGCAATAACGGAGAACCAGCCGCGTCAGGCTCCGTTTTTGGCAATGATAATACGCTCACCTGGAAGAGCATTGTTTAATCGCGCGGGTTGTCTTATCTCTCCCGAGACTCGCGGAAGAACGACACATCGAACTTTGAAAAGCAAACGCGATAACCGTGGTTAAATATTGAACCGGTCAACTCTTTCTTTGAACACACAATTCAGCGAAATCTCGTGCGAAATTGATCTTAACGTTTATATCTGATATTTTGTAAAACTCTGAAGAAGTAAACGAAAAGTGTAGAATAACTTTTTCTGTAGGAGCTCTTCAAGCTAGAGAAAATAGACGTTGAAGACGTTTGGGGCGCGCTGAGTTAACTAGCCCGCGACTCGCGCATCTTTCACTTCGTTCTTTTCGAAAACCACGGATCGTATCGCAAACTTTCATTGTATGTTTTCTGTTCATTTTTTAGCTAGGAATATAAAAAGGATTTTTTCCAGTCGATTTGCACCTCGATTCTCGAAGTATCATGGTGAGTGTAGCACCGATTAGGTTCTTAGAGAAAAATACCAGATTTTTTAACCTCCAGGGCGCCCCTTCTCCGTGATAGAGCTAGATCCGCAGGAAACTAGCATTCAAGGCTGGAAAAACGATATCTTGATTTATACGCGTCTTTTGTTGCCGCGCATAACACGTACCAGTTCGCGCGCGCCCGATAATCGGTATTTGTCCGACCAGCTCGATAAGAAGCGCAAAGGAGGAGTCGGAGAAGAAGTACCCCGAGGATGTCTACGAGTCGCCGTGCACGATAAGTATTATCTAGAACTGGCGCCGTCTGGCAATTCGATTAACTTCCAATTCACGGGTTGCACGAGTCAGGAAAGAGCTTCCTGCTACCTTTTTACCATACATGATCAAGTAACGAGTCGAGGAAGCTGGGTCTCAGGAATTGTATATCGGTTTTGATAAGTTAACTCGGATCGAGTGACAAATGTAGTAATTACCCCAACAGGGGTTAACCCAAGTCGAGAGAAAGGTGGGTCGAATTTTTTCGACACGGAGGATAGGCAAATCAAATAACGAGCCAGAGAAGAGAATCTTCAAGAATAGTATGCAAGTCCTGATGTTCGATAAGTGTCGTTCAGAGAACCTGGATCCAGTGGCAATTCTATTAACCCTTTGCACTCGAGGCCTTTTTTTCTGGTATCTACCAGCAACTGCGGCCTTAGGATTCTATTGGCATGAATTCTAAACCATCTAGATTTGAGAATAAGGTCACCGTTACCTCACCGACAATCATTTTATTGACACTTCGAGCACCGAAGGAATTAAACCTAAAGAAATATTAGGTGTTGTAGATTTGCTGCGTGAAACTTAATGGCGACTGAGAGTCACCTCTCGACTGCAAAGGGTTATCACCTTAAGCTACGACTTAAGCTCCAATAGCCTGAAACCAAAATGTGATGTTTACATTTGGTTTGAGCAATACACCACGGGCTAGGATCGTGATAATCAGTTTTGGCCCGAATATCCGACCACGAGTCTCACACGTGGTTGCAGCTCAAGGGGTTAATTTTTCCTAATCAGGATGCACTCGAGTCGAGAGAAGGTTACTTGCTAACTTTTCCTCGCGAAGGATGGGCAAATCAAATAACGAGCCAGAGAAGAGAATCTTCAAGAATAGTATGCAAGTCCTGATGTTCGATAAGTGTCGTTCAGAGAACCTGGATCCAGTGGCAATTCTATTAACCCCTTAAGCTACGATTTAAGCTCCAACAGTCTGAGACCACAATGTGATATTTACATGTAGCCCGAACAATACACCACGAGCCAGGCTCGTGATAAATAATCAGTCCGAATATCCGACCACGAATCTCACACGTGGCTGCAGCTCAAGGGGTTAATTTTTCCTAATCAGGATGCACTCGAGTCGAGAGAAGGTTACTTGCTAACTTTTCGACACGAAGGATATACAAATCAAACAACGATCCAAAGAAGAGACTCCCCAAAGATCGTATACGACTCCCGATGTTCGATAAGTGTCATCCGGAACCTGGACCAACCAGCAATTCCGTTAACTACCCAATCAGGCCTGCGTTAGACTTGCAACCAAGTCGGGAAAAGCTGTGTCTACCTTTTCATCGCGGAGGATACATAAATCCTGCGTTGGATGCCGGCGAACAGGCTAGGCTGGAGCTTTACGATCGATTTCCTGCGCGCTGGAGAAAGTAACGGCACCGCGGAAAACATCAGCTTAGTTCGATTACTTGAATTTCGCGATGCTTTAGCGCAGCTTGACTACTCGAGTCCGTGATCGATCAGCGAGCGTGGCTTTCTCTGTGTCCTCCTCGGTCTCGCGACCGCTCGCGCGTTTATCTCCCTACGTGCGTCACAATGATCTCTTCATTGGGCCGTTTGAAACGAGTAATCCGAATCCGCGGTATCCGGATGCAGATAACGGGGCAATAAACCAGCTAACTGCGAGCCGTTTACGAGCCTTTGTGGATAATTGTAATTGAGTTACGTAGCGCGCTTTTTTCATAATACGAGCCGAGCCGCATCCGTGCTTCCTGTTTTCCCGCTAGGAGATAGCGGGGTGGATCATTTTTGTCTGCCTTGGGGGACGATTAATGGTAGAGGTCAGTGCACAGGGAGTGTCATCTCGACGGGAACTTAATCGACGCTTTCTCGAGACTCGGCGAGATTCATGGAAGCGATGCGCAGTATAAAGATATACCGGATGAGAATATTCGTATTCTGCATTGTTAGTTAACCAGTCGGCTGTGGTTGACGAGTATACTCGTCGCGGAGACATGGAGAAGTAGCATATTTCGTGTCATGGCGAGTATAATCGTCGTGCGTAAAATATACGCGTATATGCTTACTTAATATACGTTTATGTTAAGCGAACAAGTAAATATTTCTAATATTTCTAAAATATCTAATATTTTAACAGCGACACTTACGCTGTGATTGACGAATATACTCGTCATTGCTTGATTTTCGCGACGCATATACACCCCCGCTCAAAAGTATGTGGACACTAAATATCTAATAACAGTTGCGAATCTATTAATATGAATTATATCATTTATCTTTCGATACGTTCATGTTTAATAAAAATGTAAAATTTTAAAAACAAAATCGTATAATCTAACAAACTGCAAAGAGCATTTCGTGGCCATTACATAACTCGAAGATCTACCAAGAAAAATAGTCTCGGAGTTGACTACATATACCCAAATTGCTCGGAGTGTAAAGGGTTGATTCCCTAGTAAACAAAGTATCATCCACCTCTCCCATGAAAAGTGACAACGTAACCACCACACTCGCAGCTCCCTCGATC